CAGTTTCAGCAGCGGCTGAATCTGGACGCCAGTTCCGACTTACATACAGATTCAACTTAAGAACAAACCTACAGTCCCTATCTTGTACGTAACCTGGGGACTGCCTGTAAAGAGCTCAGGTGCTGCAGGCCTTCTGGAAATCCTGAAGCTGCCTCCATTCAATAACGGCCCTTTGTTTGACCTAAGCAGTTGAAGCAAATTCACAAAAAAGTGTCAATATATGATCCCTTCAGATAGGCATCTTCTGATTCAATGTCCAGCAGCCTCAGAATTGTGAAATTAGGGTTCCCAAAGCATTTTTAATTCCACTGAGAAATATTCACATTTGCAGAGCCTTCTGTTCCTCTCCAAGGAAGCACGACAGCATTCACACAATTTACTGCCTGCCTCAGTGTCAATAGTCTGTGTCAAATTTATACACTGTACTCAAAAGGCCTTTTGTGTATTTCTTTAAATTGTTTATTTCTACCACCCTGTACAATAGTACTAAATACAGTTATTCACCTTTTTCTCCACTCCCCCGCATTTAACTAATTCCTTCATATGCAATCCATGGGGCTGAGATATAGCTGCATTTGCTGCTGCTGCTAACTCAGTTTGGATCTCCTGAGAGGTTCTCCTCTGTCTGTGTCCCACCCCTCCCCAGCTGTGCCCACTATAGTGGACATGGACAGGCACTTCACAGCAGCTTGAGATGAGGGCTGGAGTGGTCCTCTCCTTCCAGATCAGTCTGCATATTGAACTCCTCATCCCAAGACCCACCCAAAACAATGATTTAATTAAAGGGGAAAAAAAAACCATCTTAGGAGTTAAAGACCCAAAGCAACACTAGACAATTCTTCTAGTATTTATTGTTTACTTTGTAATAAAAAATATACACTTTGTATTGTGTTGCAACTGAAATCAATTTGAAAGTGTAGAAACATTTAAGTTTTATTCTATTTAACAATGCAATTAAACCCAATTTTTAATTGCTATTAGAGTTAATTTCAGTTAACAGTACTAATTGTTTCATTTTAGAACTACATACAGACATTAAATCATTTTTAAAAATAACCATGGCAATTTGTTCCTTTGTCTTAAGGAAGAAATATTACCTGTGGAGGAGCTTCAAATGCAGGGTACACGGCTATCTCAGGCAAATTTCTGTTGCTGATGTATTTATAGCAGTTCCATACGCAGTTAATTAGATAAGCCTGTAAAATAAAAAAAGAGTTGTTTTAATAAATAGATTTGCTTTAAAGCAAACTGACATGCCAAATTTATACCTGACAGAAGCAGGTGCTACGTTGTCATTAGAATGGTTTACCTCAGTGAATCTTGCCCAAATTACTTAACCAATTTGCCTTCTACACAAAATGCTTCCCTGACACATCCAAATCATGCTCTTCAAACAAAACTACCAAAAAGTTATGTTTCAGTATATGCTCTTCATCTACATTGCACATCTGTAGAGAAGCATCTTTATTACACAAGAACAATTTTAATCCCCTTCAACTGGTTACCAGCACACTAACTCAGGGGAACGGACTGCATAGAAGAGCAAAATAGTAGTAAAAAGGGACTTCACAGAATTCATTTGTTAGTCCATGACTCTTGTGAGAGTACCCAAAATCTGATTATGAACTCTGAATAGTTTTGGTAGACTTAGTATTGTTCTCACCTTCCCTCTCCCACCCCAAACTATGTGGTAGAAGGCAGGAAAGATGAGTGTAGCAAATCCTAGCATCTAAGCATGCTGGGAGATGAAAGAACAGGGATTAATGGGTTTGGGGATGAGAGAGGACTGAATTAAGTGCCCAGGCAGGGAGTTAAAACAGCAAGGCTGTGATAGAGCAGGAGAAGAGGTGAAATTATTCTGTCACAGATTGGATCCTAGGAAGTAGCCCCACAGGTGGAGGAGGCAGAGAGAACTGGGCACCAATGTCTTAATAAAAAAGAAGCCACCACTACCTCCCATCCCAGAGCAGCTACTACTGCAAGATGTAAAGGGAGAGACTTGAACTTATTAGGGACCTGATTTGGGAATTACTGATTTAGGCTTCCAATACCATTTACTCTTATCGCCATTAATCCTGTTGCCCTTTTAGTGCCAATGTGCAGATGATCACTACACTGAATAAAATCAAGTTAAGTTTAACTTATATTTTTAAAAATTAAACTTGGATTGCTATTACCTTGGAACAGGGACTGTAATTCTGTTTGGTGTTCATACAGTGATCTATGCTTGAAGCCCCAAAATGCCAGGGTAGAAATAGTAATATATTTGAAATTAGAAAGTCTAATAGAAAAAATTCTGTGTGTGCATTATGTAGCTATTTGTGCACTGTTCAGATAGCCGAAGGCAAAACAGTTAAGCAAAGTTATGGCCCAACACCTGTCAACACATACCCTGTTGAAACTTACTGAGATTTACATGCCTGTATACATGAGTGCTTGGGACCCTGCTATTGGTATGGACTTTAAATGCAAGAAAATTCACTTGCCTTTTGTAAATTATTCTAACACAGCACAAGCTTAGAGTTCTGAACTGATTGGTCAGCCATGCACCTTATACAGAGTTGGAAGTATGTAATGAGGCAGCAGCAGAGAAAGAAAAAGCAAAGCTAATGCAGTGCTGCATTAAATGATAAATACTAACATAACATGTTTTAAAAAAGATTTGACAAAGTAAGGAAACTAATGTGCTTTTTCCACTTAAATTAAAAATGGTAAAAAAAAAAAAATAATAAAAGCACCATTTCTCCTACACAGAAAAGTAATTGTATTAGTAATTGAGGTTCTACTGTAAAGGTTTTCACAAAAGGCACTAACCTAAGGGAAAAAATTGCATTTGCTATTTCAATTTTTTCAGAAGACTATTCCCAGAGACTATTTTGTACATTCTGGTTCCACTCCTTCCCACACCACCTAATAATTTTAAGCCATCGTTGCAGCTCTGTACCAAAGCAAGGATTGCAACAGGAACAACAAAATAATAAAATGATAGATGTGTGACGCTCCACACAGCTGGAGACTGGGTTTGATCTGCTGGTGTGAATAACATGCATGCCATATTTTCCCTCTGTTCTAATTAGCCAGCTCATATAGGTAGGCAGGGCCTGGATTACACAGTGTACATTTCCATAAATATGTAAATTTAGATATTCACAGTCTGATCACAAAAAGCAGGCATGAAAGCCACATGCCTATGAATTGATAGCTCTAATTCTCAACAAACCAGCAGCAGTGATATTCCTTTATAGCAGGTCTTAATTCAGTTTCTTAAACACACTGGGGAATTTAAAATTGACTCCCTGCATCACCCCCACTCGCCCCTTTGTATACTAGCACAGGTGTTGGGGGGAAATAGAGAAGGTCCAACTCCTCAAATTCAGGAACCTTTTGCTTAATACTACAAATTATGTTTTCAGAATGTGATATACAATATTAACTAGCAATTTTTTTCCATTTGTATAAAGTTTAAAAAGAGAAAGCATAAAATGCTCTAATATACATCTCATTTCCTTGTGAGTTTTATTGCTTAAAGATGCAAAATTTAAAGATAATACTTGAAGGTTTATTTATATCTCCTACTATGAAAAGCCCTGCTTTCTACAGCAGTGTTTCTCAACCTTTTTTTTTTATAAAGCACCCCTTTAAAAAAAATTATAACTACCCCCAGTACCTAGGTTTCAGAAACACAATTCGCAACCACATAGTAACACTGCAATACAAAAAACTTCTGAAACTTAACATCTACAATTTAAACAATTAAGGTATAAAATATATAGTTTACCTTTAAGATGATAAATAAGGCAAAAAACACCAGCACAATGAACAAAATGCAGCTTGAGTCAAGTGCAAGGAGATCATCTTTGTAAGGGAAATCCGGCTAGAGGAGGGGGGAAAAAAAATCCAGACAGTCACAATATGAGGCTATGAAAGTTTGGATGACTAACAGTTAGCAACTACCTTGAATTGTATTTAGCCATCCAATCTCTCCTACATTACTAACTTCAAAACTTTATTTTTGACTTTGGTGCACTTTTTATATTTTGAGTCTTTTCATGTGTTTTTAGCAAGATTTGTCTTTTTTAAACAGTTTTTTTTGGGGGGAGGGGGCGGGTCGGTCTTAAATATAGTGTTTCAACTACTAAAAACTCCAAGGTTCTTTTTGATATGTTTATGTATTTTGAGCTGGACTGTTTTACAAAATGCTTTTTGCACTAGGTATTTACATTTTTAATTAAAATCAGTTGTGTTTAAGGCAAGGATAAACTAATTGAGGTGATGGATCAATTGTTTTGTTGGTTAAAAGGAGGAAGACTTCCAGATGCTGTAAGTAAGTCTTCTAAGGAGTCTTTATGACAAACATTGTCATCCATGAATTTGTTTGATCGCTTTCCATCTCTGTGCCTTCCAAAGAATGGACTCGACTGAGCGCAACAAATGGTTGAGCTGGCCCAAAGTATTGAAAGCCTTCCTCTGGATTGTTCTGGTGGATTTTTGCTCCTTGTTCATCTTCCTCTGGGGCTTCCTCAGAGTTTTGAAACTCTTCGTTTCGCATTGTTACAACTTTGTATCAAAGGTCAGGCTTTCTTGTGTTAACATAAATTACTCTTCTTGTGCTCCCTTTCATACGCCGGCTACACAGACAGAAAGCACACTCAAAGGTGGAGACTTGGTGTGGATTGAACATTGCAATACATATTTTAAACAACTGTCGAGAAATATTGCTTTCCTCCTCTCTGATTTGAGCAATAGTGCCTGAGGCTTCCTTCAAGACTCGTAGATTCACATTTAGCGACATACTTGGCAATATAATGGGCTATGACAATAGCAACTCCACAAGGTTGAATGTCTATGTTCACATGCCAGCAGTTTAAGATCGAACTTTCTTGAAGCCTCTGGAACCCAGCCCAGTCAAATCAAACTTTCCAGAAGCCCTTCCAAGCCTTGCAATACAAATACAATGCACACCCATGTTTGTGTACATATATGTATGTAAACGTTTGTATGCGGCCTGCGGCACCTTGAGCTGCTTCCCAGGCCACCTGCCTGCCTCATCACTGTGGGCTCCAGCGGCAATGTCTCCCCAGGAGCCGAGCTGCACTGTACCCCACTGAACCCCACTGAGACAGGCAGCATGCACAAGAGCTGTCGGGGAGAGAAGGGAGGGTGGTGCCAAGAGGCAGAGGCAGTGCCTTCCCATGAGTGGAGCTGCGTGGCACTGCACTGAGCCAGGCCGCACTGGCGCGTGCACAGGAGCTGCCGGGGGCAACGAGTGTGCGTGAAACTTGAAAATCCCATGACAGACAGACATGAATGATGACGACTTAATAGAAAGATTGTCTAATAAAGAGGGCCAGCTGCAGAGAGGGTCTTGTTTTCACATTGCACTAAATCCTTCTCAGCTCCATAGCAACAACCCACCTTGTTCAAAGGCAGCTGCTGCTGTTGCCTCCCACATTCCCATTTATGAAGGATTTGCAGTAAGGCAGGAGAGCTTATGTAAATTTATGCTGAGTAGGTCAAAATGAGTTTGTTCCCGGTTGGCCTGAAAGTTGGGGTTGGAAAGCAAGTGTTTCCTAACCTCATACAAATAACAGAGGCCAAATCACCTGGAAGCATTTCTGTCAAGTACAGAAAAAGAAACAGAACAATTATCTGGATCCACAACCCCAAGCCAGATCAGTATTCAAATGCTGATGTATTAAATTAAGTCAACACTTGTATAGATCTGAACTGACTTGAGGGAGTTAATACTTTAAGTCATTTTAGAGTCTATGGTACCTACCAAATCCAGCTTCTATAAGAAAAGTGCTCTGCTAAATGCCTGAAGATGACTGCTCATTTTGGACTAGAATAGCAAACCCTCTAGTATAAAAAAATTACCTTCCCAATTATCAAAACCAAGACTGTTTCATCTGTAAACTATTAATCTATTTTACCAGACACTTACTAACTGATCCAGATACTCTTTGATTCTTGGCATGTAAGTAAGAGAACTGATGGCAACCAGGCAACTGAGGACAAAGTTAAAGAGCTGGTAACAGAAGAACGGAATGAGCCAGCCCACTCGGTGCTGAAAGAAAAAAAAAAGTGGAATTTATTAGTCTGCAAGTTGCAGTAGCCAAATTTAGACTTGAATCCCATGAATATACTTACAGCAATTGCTCCATACACCATCATTGCACTTATTGTGAACAGGATGAGTGAAATGGCAAAGAGAACACAGGCATTTTCTAAAGTAAAATGGGAAACAAGTTACATTAATACCAACTTACTGAAATTGTAATTGTTAGAAGCTACCAAGGTATAGCTGTATTTCCAATTTGAGCACACAAGATCAACCTGTCTATTAACCATACTTTCATGATAAGTTTGTCCAGTTCTCACCTCTATTTTGTTTTTTCATAATTAGTTGTTAGTCAAATGAAGCAGCACACAGCAGTAATACAAGTCACCAGAAAAACCAGGACAGCATCACCATTAAGAATCCTGTGACCAGCATGTGTTTAATGAGGTTGATCCCACAGCCTGCCCATAGCTATATGTTGCACATAAACAGCAGCCTGTATTACAGTACCTTCCATATCACTCAGCCAAACAATTTGATTCAGCCAATCCACAATAGCAAAATAGTTCATATGAAAATAGGACAACTTCCACTGTATCTATAGCTTTTAGTTATTTGATCACATAATTCAATCAGTGGCACTGGAAACAAAATTGCTCTTTAATGAAGTGGAATGCCATACTATGTAGAAGATACTGCTGTTTAAGTAACAGAAGGGGCTTAAATTCATACAAAAGCCACATGCCAGTAGTATTCAAAATATTAATCGGGGTCTAATCAAAGATTATATATTTGTTATCCACAGGACAAAAGTAGTTTCCTTCTTTTATTCTGCACTGGTGGGGCCACAGCTGGAGTACTGCATCCAGTTCTGGGCCCCCCCCCCCACTATAGAAAGGGTGTAGATGCATTGGTGATGGTCCAGCAGAGGGCAACCAAAATGATTAGGGGTCTGGAGCACATGACCTATGAGGAGAGACTGAGGGATTTGGGCTTATTTAGTCTGTAGAAGAATTTGACAGCAGCCTTCAACTTCCTAAAGGGAGGTTCCAAAGAGGATGGAGAAAAGCTGTTCTTAGTAGACACGGATGGCAGGACAAGGAGTAATAGTCTCAAAAGACAGTGGAGGAGATCTAGTTAGGATATTAGGAAAAACTATTTCACTAGGAGGGTGGTGAAGCACTGGAATGGGTTACCTAGGGAGGTGGTAGAATTTCCATCCCTAGAGGTTAAGTCCCAACTTGACAAAGCTCTGGCTGGGATGATTTAGTTGGGGTTGGTCCTGCTTTGGGCAGGGGGCTGGACTGTATGACCTCCTGAGGTCTCTTCCAGCCCTAGTATTCTATGAGTTGCTGTCTGCAAACTATATGATTTTCATCCTTTTAATGGTCACAAATAATTTATGTTCAGAGACAGAAACTGATTCGACCAAGACTAAGACTGCAATACAAAGATTAATAGTCTTATTTTTCTTAAGTGTTGATCTATACTTCCCAAAGAAGTGAAGACAAGAGATGTTCATGTGCAGGGCTCGCCAAACCGCATGCGCAGATCGCCCGAACCCGGCTCTTCCAGGTTGTAATCTACACGCCACAAGCGAGTATACTGCATTATTTGTCGAGCCCTGCTTATGTGGCTTCCTGAGCAAATTCTAGGTGCTCAGCAACTCAAAAATCACCCCATAAGTCAGGGACGAGATGCAGCTTCCAGCTTGTCTGAATGCAGCCTCAAAAGCTCAGGCTTCCCGCCATCCCCATCATTGGGGAGCCGAGGCAGACAAAAATCTACCAGATTGAGCCCCCGTAGGCTCTGGTGTATTAGGGAAATGTGTTGCTCCCCAGTCAGGGCCTGTCACTGAGTTTGGTTTGGGGTTTTTTGTGTGCTTGCGTGCAGCCCCCTGACTGATTTTTCTGTGGGTTAATGGCCCCGACCCAAAAACGGCTCCCCATCTCTGCCATAAGGGGTCAGAGACAAGATCTTAAAAGAGTTATTGGCTCCCCAGTTTATACTCATGATCAGGGCGCAGCTGTGCCGGCTTGTAATCTACTCACTATGGGTGAGTAGATGACACTAATTGTTGAGCCCTGCCATCTTTCTAGCAATTTTTTTTTTTGAAGGGGTCAGAGGAAAAAGAATTACGGAACCATCCGGCTGTGTTATTGAGTAACCATGTGGTCTCAGTCACACTCATCTTTACTCTTCCATCTCACAATGTCTTCCGTCTGTTCTTCAGCCTTACTTTATATCAATGACAATCTTTGTAAATACGCACACCATTTTTTTTTCTGACTCTCATAAGTGGGTTTTTTTTGGTTTTTTTGGAAGAGTGCAAACTGCTTCTCATTAAAGTTGTGTGTACTACTGTGCATACTACTTCGTCGTTCTTTGTTTTCGATTGTGTCAAGGAGATTTTTTTTTAAAAGTATAGACTCACTACAGTTTGGAATCCTAAATACTTAAAGGTTTTCTATTTTCAGTACATTTTGTTCTTATACAAGTTATTCAGATTCATGTACAATTACTATAGCTGGCTTGTGGAAAAGAGCAACACAAAGTCATTGACAATCCAAATCTTTCTGGAAAAAGGTAAGTCAAAGTACATAAAACCTGCCAATTTGATTTGAAATTTAATCAAATTACATTTACCTATAGGTAAGTTAAGAATAGCAAATGTTTAATTGAGGAGACTGCAGGTATTGCCAGCCCGTAAAATGGGTACTGCTGTTATCATTACCATCTCACAAATATGCTTTCAAGTATTTCAAATATGTTTACAGAGAATATTAAGTCAAAACATGATATGGAACTTATAGAAACTTTCATAACACTGATTTTTTTTAAATCCACAGAGTGGCTGCAACCTTTACTTACCATATGCACACATTTGACAGATAATTGTATTTAAATAATGACCTACACAGTAGCATTGCAAGATGTACTATGAGAATACACGAATGTCCCCAGAGTATATTTAGTACAAATTAGTACATGCCAAGACACTTACCAGCCATCTTCTCAGAACCATAGTAATTACCAATTACTTCATACTGTATGTCAACTGTTGGCACTGTGTTAGGGTGGGTCACTTCTACCGTCAGCAAGATGCCCATCAACAAGTTCACCACCTGAGAGAGATTGTAGTTATTTTAATACTATTTAGAGTTACAATATGGCAGATAAAGATTTAGCATGCTTCAGAAATCTTTTTTTTTTTTACGAACAAATAGCAAACTTTGGCCTAATCTACAGTGTCAACTGAAGGTGTGATTTTAAACAAGGGATGTCAACGTGTAATTGAGTACATGATCGATCACTACACCTCGGCTTATCGGTTAATCTTATTGATTACATGCATCTTCGCCACCTCCCACTTGCTGCTTCTGTATCAGAGGCAGCTGGGGGTGGAGGGGAGAGCAGGAGCTGGTACCATGGTGAGCTGGCTTTTAAGCCAGCTCCCCATGAGCACTGTATACACAGAGCCGCCTGTCCCCCCCTACCCCAGCACTGCTGCCTCTGATAGAGAGACAGCAGCATGGAATGTGAGCGGGGCAGGCAGTCAACCAACAGAAGCAGGAAGCTGGCTTTCAAGCCAATTCCCTACCTATATAAGCACCACAGATCAGACCCTGTATTTAAAAAGAAGGTCAAGAGAGGGGATAAATAGCAGAGACGAGTGAAAAAACTCAAGTGTTACCCACAAGATTCAGTAGGGTTTATTTAAATATATTCAAAGTTAAACCCTTATGGTTGTATGCTTGATAAAATTTACTTTCTTTATATTATTGCTGCAACCTTTTGCACACACATTTATTTGAAATAATAATAAGAAGTGAATTAAAATATTGTTTAACTAGTAGAGATGTTAAATGACATCTAATAGTGTAACTGCACTAAAGCTTAGCAGTTACATTAGTCAATGGTCTCTGGGGGTGGGGCCAGTCCAGTGTATTCCCAGTCCCACTCCTGGGGAGCCCCCTGCCGCCCTGTGCTGCTGCTGCAGCTTCTGTCCACAGGTGTCCCCAGCTGCTCTGACACTCCACCTGCCACCCCATCCCGGTGCCTATGTGGAAAGCAGCAAAAGGGGAAGGAGGGCAAGACAGCTCCATAGAGCCAGCATGTGTGGAGAGAAGGTTTAAAAGCCTGCTCCCTGCATATACCTGCTCCCTCCTGCCTCCCCTCCACCACCCTCTCTATCCAAGGCATCAGTGTGAGGGTAGTGGGCCCCCCCCCACCAGCAACCGCCTCCCCGCTTTGTTGCCTGTGATACAGAGGCAGCAAGGCAGGGGGAGTGTGTGTAGTCATTTGGATTAACCAATAAACCAGGCTTATCCATTAATCATTTATATGACTATATGCCAACATCCCTAATAACTACAAGAAAAAAAAAAGCCTAGTCAGTTTAACTATGGATTAGCCCACAGTAAGAGCTTTTGCAAAAGCACCCAACAGTACCAGATAGTATAGTTTTCAACATTAATTTCTAGTGTCACCTAGAAAGTCTGAAACATGGTTCTATGAGCATAAATATTAATAGTATCTTAAACCTATAGACATTTCCCATTACTCATTCAGAAAGACCTGCCTCTACTGGGACGTATATTTACAAAAGAGGTGTGGGTTTGCAATTTCTAAACACTGAAATGAACCAGATTTGCTCTTGTTTGCTGGTCAGGCTCCAGAGTCTGATGCAATAGTAGCAGATCAAATGCACAGTTCCTGAAGAATGGCTCATTAGGAAACTAAAATTGCTTGTTAAGTCACCACAGTTCATATCAGTCTTCCGTCTCCCACATTTTGACAGTTTAAAAAACAAAAAGACTTCAGTCAAAATCTTGATTTCACATACACAACTACCAAAACCAAACCAAACCCAGGAAAAACAGACCAACTTACTAGACATGCCAAATATTTTTGTTGTAATACATTCTCAACTTCATTTTTGATTCTACTAGTTCCTTTATTTAGGACTTCTCACATTTCAACTTAGTGCTCATCAAATTTGCGGCACGAGGCTGGATATAAACATATTCCTCCCAGAAAGCACCTCAGCTGGAAAGTTTGTTCATTTGCATCTTAAGTCTATTTTGCATCTTTCTGCACCTTTGCTCATTTACTGTGTCTTCAATGCTGCGGTCTCATGTTTCCCCCACTTTCTATTTTCTCTTCATAAGCACCTCAGCACTAATCACCACCTGATTGCTACCAACATTGTCAGTAGAGTCACTCAGCCTAACCCTTTCATATGGAGAGGCTATTTTTAATAAATAAGAATATTTACAATCAGGATGTCACAGCTTTTTGGCTGTGAGGAATCCTTAACCCCACTTTCACAAAACACAAAAAGACTCATGTAATTCTAGCCAAGTATGATACATTAGCAATATTAAAAAAATGCATTACTGCTCAGCTTCCATGATCTGCTATTTCAAACCAAATATTTATCAGCACTTCAAGTTGCAACACCAAAAGGAAAATTTCAGTAGAAATGCAAAATACTCCTTTCTAGTGGAAGTTCCATTGACTACCCAATTAGCTGATTAACTGAAATTTAACATCCCTACTGTAGAGCAGCCTCTGTCTGTGGCAAGCTTGGGCCTGCCATGGGCAGAGGCTGGTCCTCAGCAGCAGGACCCTCTGTGGACTGGGGCTTTCTCCCAGTGGAGAGAGGCTGGAGGAGCAGCCTCTGTTCGCAGGGAGCTCATCCGCTGGGGACCAGCCTCTGCCCATGGCCAGCCCAGGCCACCACAGACAGAGGCTGGGTGATAGGAG